TCACAGTCTGACGAGGAATTTGACTTCAAGAGATTTACGGAGGAGGAAGTTGGAAGAACAGACATGGAGTGGATGCAGGAGCTGTGCCAGCAACTGTCCGGGCTCGGGGTAACTGTTCTGCCATAAAATAACAAGTCCTGGATAAGAGGTGACGATGAAGCAGAAGAATTTTGTCCCGTTGCTGAAAGTCTAACGGATGACCAGATTCTTCAGGCAGTACGACCAAACAACATTCCAGAAGATGAAGAACTGGCCTTCACTGTGGAAGAAGAAGAGGAAGATGAAGTGGACATAGTTCCAACGTCAGCTGCGACCGTAGCTGGCTTAGAGACTGCTTTAAGATGGTTTGAGATGCAAGACATTGAGCCTATAAAAATTATGCAGCTACGTAGTATTTTGCAGTTTGCTAAGCGGAAGCAGCACAGCAGCAAGAAGCAAAAGCAACTCACCGACTTTTTTTAAGAAAAACTAGACTAGTTTATTATAATGTCTACTTTAAATCTCTAGTAAAGCAACACTTTTTTTTCTTGTTTGTTTCCTTCAAGTAGGAGTTTATTTTCTGGGTGTGACATTTACTGTATACAGTAATTTCATTTTAACGTGGTCCCTGCTATAACGCGGTACTTGGCATGGATCCCAAATCCCGCGTTCTAGCGAGGGTCCGGTGTATTTCAGAGCATGCATTTGTAACGTTTAGAGTTCTATTGTCAAATAATTAACAAGTGCACTTGCATCTTTTTTCCCCAATTAAACTTCTATGTGGCAGGACACGTGCATCGGCAGCATGCCATTCATGAAGGAGAGCATCTGAAATGCACATTCACATCCTGATATCTGAGTGGACTCTAGCTGACCACATCAATGAGGGTGGATTTTAAATGGATTGGAAAATTATTACGTTTGTATAAAACTGCACAGAAAGAGCCTCTATTTGTACTAAGAGCAAGATACCTTCATTACACTCTGTAGAAGAACTGTCTTATTGTGGTCTGATCACACTGATCACACACAGTAGACTCATTGCTGCTACTTCTGATAACCTAAATGTTGCTGCTTCTGCAGACTCTGTACTTAGTGCCACTGAAAACTGATGCAAGTTGGGCCACTGAGTTGTGTGTTTGGCTCTTTGGGGATGAATGCTGTGTGTCAGCTGGTAGGCTGGGTTAAATGGTCCAGCAAGTAAGAAAGAAAAACCAGCAGGTTTTTCTCTCTTAGGTACCATTCTTGGAATCCAAGGTACACAGCTCAAAAAAAAAAAAAAAGGATTTTACATAAACAAAAAAGCAAACAGAATGAACCCAGCTGGGGATACAACCCAGCCATCTAAAAACTGTGAAGCTCTGCCTCCTCAGAGGCCCCTCTATGCTCTTTAACTATTGCGGAACAACTTTCACAGAATTCCCTGGCTTTCGTCTGAGAGCCTGATTTGAACTTTCAGCCCCCATCGCTACTTCATTACTTTACCCGGTACCCCTGTGGGAGATCTAAACAGTAATGTATGGGGCCTCTGCACCGCTTCAGGGTGCTATAAAGATATGAACAATATTCATTAACCTTGTCACTTGTCAAAATATGAAAATATCATTAAAAGTCCTTCTGTGGCGGAGCTTATTCAATAATTCCATTTGTTCTATACTTTTGCGCTCCTGAAAGAGTGTCCTACTACTCCTGTACTTTACATAGACCATGGAACACTGTAAAAAGGCTGTCATAAATATAAAGGGAAAGCTAACCACCTTTAAATCCCTCCTGGCCAGAGGAGAAAACCCTTTCACCTGTAAGGGGTTAAGAAGCTAAAGATAACCTCGCTGGCACCTGACCAAAATGACCAATGAGGAGACTTATCTTTGAAAACTCGTGGCGAACGGGGGAAGTCCCGGATGACTGGAAAAAGGCTAATGTAGTGCCAATCTTTAAAAAAGGGAAGAAGGAGGATCCTGGGAACTACAGGCCAGTCAGCCTCACCTCAGTCCCTGGAAAAATCATGGAGCAGGTCCTCAAAGAATCAATCTTGAAGCACTTGCATGAGAGGAAAGTGGTCAGGAACAGCCAGCATGGATTCACCAAGGGAAGGTCATACCTGACTAGTCTAATCACCTTTTTTGATGAGATTACTGGTTCTGTGGATGAAGGGAAAGCAGTGGATGTATTGTTTCTTGACTTTAGCAAAGCTTTTGACACGGTCTCCCACAGTATTCTTGTCAGCAAGTTAAGGAAGTATGGGCTGGATGAATGCACTATAAGGTGGGTAGAAAGCTGGCTAGATTGTCGGGCTCAACGGGTAATGATCAATGGCTCCATGTCTAGTTGGCAGCCGGTGTCAAGTGGAGTGCCCCAGGGGTCAGTCCTGGGGCCGGTTTTGTTCAATATCTTCATAAATGATCTGGAGGATGGTGTAGATTGCACTCTCAGCAAATTTGCGGATGGTACTAAACTGGGAGGAGTGGTAGATACGCTGGAGGGGAGGGATAGGATACAGAAGGACCTAGACAAATTGGAGGATTGGGCCAAAAGAAATCTGATGAGGTTCAATAAGGATAAGTGCAGGGTCCTGCACTTAGGACGGAAGAATCCAATGCACCGCTACAGACTAGGGGCCGAATGGCTAGGCAGCAGTTCTGCGGAAAAGGACCTAGGGGTGACAGTGGACGAGAAGCTGGATATGAGTCAGCAGTGTGCCCTTGTTGCCAAGAAGGCCAATGGCATTTTGGGATGTATAAGTAGGGGCATAGCGAGCAGATCGAGGGACGTGATCGTTCCCCTCTATTCGACATTGGTGAGGCCTCATCTGGAGTACTGTGTCCAGTTTTGGTCCCCACACTACAAGAAGGATGTGGATAAATTGGAGAGAGTCCAGCGAAGGGCAACAAAAATGATTAGGGGTCTAGAACACATGACTTATGAGGAGAGGGCTGAGGGAGCTGGGATTGTTTAGTCTGCAGAAGAGAAGAATGAGGGGGGATTTGATAGCTGCTTTCAACTACCTGAAAGGGGGTTCCAAAGAGGATGGCTCTAGACTGTTCTCAATGGTAGCAGATGACAGAACAAGGAGTAATGGTCTCAAGTTGCAGTGGGGGAGGTTTAGATTGGATATTAGGAAAAACTTTTTCACTAGGAGGGTGGTGAAACACTGGAATGCGTTACCTAGGGAGGTGGTAGAATCTCCTTCCTTAGAGGTTTTTAAGGTCAGGCTTGACAAAGCCCTGGCTGGGATGATTTAACTGGGAATTGGTCCTGCTTCGAGCAGGGGGTTGGACTAGATGACCTTCTGGGGTCCCTTCCAACCCTGATATTCTATGATTCTATGAGACAAGATACTTTCAAAACTGGAGTGTGGGGGGGAAACAAAGGGTTCTCTCTGTCTGTATGTTACTTTTGCTGGGACCAGAGCAGGAATGCAGGTCAGAACTCCTGTGAAGGGCTAATAAGCAATCTAGTTAGATTCTGTTTTGTTTAAATGGCTGATAAAATAAGTTGTGCTGAATGGAATGTGTATCCCTGTTTTTGTGTCTTTTTGTAACTTAAGGTTTTGCCTAAAGGGATTCTCTATGTTTTGAATCTGATTACCCTGTAAGGTATTTACCATCCTGATTTTATAGAGGTGATTCTTTTTCTTCAATTAAAATTCTTCTTTTAAGAACCTGATTGCTTTTTCATTGTTCTTAAGATCCAAGGGTTTGGGTCTGTGTTCACCGATGCAAATTGGTGAGGATTTTTATCAAGCCTTCCCCAGGAAAGGGGGTGCAGGGTTTGGGAGGATTGTGGGGGGGGGAAGACGTTTCCAAGCAGGCTCTTTCCCTGTTATGTATTTGTTAGACGCTTGGTGGTGGCAGCAATAAAGTCCAAGGGCAAAAGGTAAAATAGTTTGTACCTTGAAGTTTTAACCTAAGCTGGTAAAAATAAGCTTAGGGGGTTTTTCATGCAGGTCCCCACATCTGTACCCTGGAGTTCAGAGTGGGGAAGGAACCTTGACAAAGGCTATCTAAGAAGCCAAACATAAATATAGAGTGAAACTTCCATGCATTGGTCACAATAAGCATATTTGGAGGGGAGGTAGAACATGCATCCCTGATATGGAAGAAACGGGTGTTTTCTAAGAAATATAAAGAATTTTAATTGGGACATTTAAAACTAGATTACACAATACAATAGGAAATGTGCAGTAGGGGGAAATGGTGCATTGACAACGAGTTAAACTAGATGATTCAAGAGATTTTCCATCACTAATTTTTCTGAATCTAACCGGAATAGTTAGCTCAGGTTTAAAAAACAAAACAAAAAACACTGCCCCTTTATTGAGGAGTCATTGTCTGTGTTGCCAGACATCAGTGTTGCTAGTGTATTTGTGTATATATGACACCTTTCAAGATCAATTAATTTATTATGTGAAATTTACTCCATAATGCTGCCAAACATTCTTGTATGAGTTATTGAAAGTTTAATGGCAAAGTACACTGAACCAGCCTGTTGGTTACTCTGATACAGACACAATCCAAACCAAAACACAAATGGAAAAATTGTATGTACTATCATCTCTACATCCTTTTCTCTCCCTTGACTTCTAGATACTGTTCCTTGTTTTACTGTTGCCCCAAGGGTTGGCCTGTCCAGACTAGTAATTCAAGTCATTGAGAACAGGGCCCTATTATAGGGTCAATTCTACTCTTGATGCTCTGGGGATTTACACAACTTTCTCATACATCGCACCAAAATAGATCCAGTATTTTGCTAGATAAGGCTTTGATATGTGGTTTTGTTCTCAGTGCTTCTAAATGTTAACACACTTTTTTCATTATGTAGATTTATATAAAACTACAGATAAGTAATAAATATGTTAGCAAAATCATAATTAAATTAGTGAACTGGAACTTGCTATTGTATACAATCTGATTATCTTTTTTATCTAGGGTTTTTTCTTTGGCATAGTCACCACTTAGTAATTTGGTAGTAATAAAACGACTTCTTGAACCATTTTTAAAAAAAAACATTTCTATTCACAGGGTGTGTGACTCACTGCCGTGGAGTTTTCTCTTCACCGGTCAATCATATCTGCTTACACAAGCAGTCATGCAGTCAACAAAGAAGATATTTCTTTTTCCAGAGACAAAGAAATACTGCTTATAGTATAGTTCGGCCGGCTATAGTTTCTCTAGCTCACCCAGTTCCTAAGGTACTGTAATTTCTATTATCTGATCCTTTTTCCAGTCAGTATAAAGATTGACTGCACGAGTGATGAAGTACATTCATCCTCTGACAGCTGGGAGTTTGAATCATGGTCTTGTTACTTGATTTGGGATTTGAAATAGGAACAGTGGTGTGAGAAGTTTTCAGCTCCCTGCCATGCTAAACAGAGTGGTGTAAATACGCCATTAGGGAGTTTAAAACTGACAGTTCTTCATATATTATGTTTGTTACTGTAACTGATCATCTTATAACATTTAACACTTTTAGATCCAAACCCCTTTGGCTACAGGCAGTGGTGGCATTAGGCATACGCAGCAATTGCGTAGCGTGCCAGGCAGCTTAGAGGTCCCTGATTTAGTTTTACCCCCAAAATACCATGCCTCTAATTTCATATGGAGTTTTTAACCAGTGTATTAGTATGTGTTGTGTTGGTGTATTTTTTGGTTTGCGAAAATAATGCAATTAGTATTTTTAGGGAGTGGGTGAAGGAGATAAGGGAGGTGGAAAAATATTCCTGCTTAGGGTCCACAGTGGTCTAGCAGCACCTCTGATAGAAGCAGATAGTTCCAGCTGAAGTCAACATGAGATGCACATGCTCATCTGAGGGCAAAATATTGCCCTTTCAATGTAAATTTCTAACACATTAAGTCTCAAACATTTACATCCTCCTGCAGTTTTGGTGATTCGGTGATTTCAGGCTTAGATGAAAGCATACATCAAAATGTCAGCCAGCTGCCCTGCTATGTAACTTATGAACTAACCTTTTCTGTCATTGACTAAATGTTGTTTTTTTGGAAAATACATTTTTTGTCTGCTTTTGAATCCATTATGACTTTATTTAGAGCTGTTCTAACAGGTGTGCTATTGCCCTTTCCCTGTTTCTGCTTTAATTGTAGTATGTACTCTGGCTGTTTCATACCCTTTATTTAATGAAAATAATTTTGGATAATATTTTTATAGTGATATTTATAAGTAGTTTTTTATTTCTTTTATAAGAAAGTAGATTTCTAGCACAAAATATAAAATATTTACATTTTCCTAAGGTGATAGTAAAAATTGAGGATGCTTACTATAGAGTTCTTAAGCCTAAAACATTATAGAAGCTTTGGATACACAATGAATATAGGATCAAGACCCTGTATATTTTCAAAGATTAGAAAAATTGTTGTAGCACTTGTAGATATTTCTTTCAGGATGAATACAAAAAATAAACTGTCATGCTGAAAACTAATCTTCACAGGTTGCAATGCTCATCTTTAATAATCTGTTCATTTTTCATCTGCCTACAAAAGAATTACAATTTAACTAGGATATAAGAATAATTTAGGAAATATCTAAATAATGAGGGAAACTTATTACAGGAATATATATTATTGGGGGGAAAGAGCATTTTTTCTACAGAATATCGCAGAAATAATATTTATATTAAAAATGGCATATGAATTTTACAGATTTTTGTAGGAAAGGAGAAATGGTGAGAAAAGGTAGACATAAATGTCTGCAGCTATACCATCTTGAGCTGCTATCTCATCATATCTCACAAGCTAAACAGTGTCAGGTCTAGGCAGTTATTGGATGAGTGTTCTCCAAGGGAAAACTCAGAGTGCTGCAGGGCATGGAGCTAGTAATTCAGGAGGTGGGATTTTTCCCTCCGATTTAGAAATAAATTAATGTCCTAGTATGGTGTGAACAGGTTCTGTGCTGCTGGGGGTGCTGTGTGTTTGAATGAGATGTAAACCTAAAGTCCTGATGGCTTGGGATCATTAAAGATCCTATGACACTTTCTGTAAGCATAGGGACGGCCAAACACCAGTTGGGGTAACTATAGTCTACCTACCTGAAGTCCCCCTTTAGAGTTAATTGGATACGCCATTCTTCTTCACTTCCTACACTAAAATGTTGTGTAGTCTTGCTGTGTGCTGTTTAAACAGCTTCTATGTAACTACCCTACAGCCTGGGTCCTATGTCCATTTAATCCTGTGTGCATTGTGGGCTTGATCCTGTCTCCACTGAAGTCAATTGTAAAACTCTTGCAATGACTTGAACGATGCAGGACCACCAGGCCCTTTGTGATGGGTAAAGTGATAATTATATATAGCTTGTAAATATTCTGGAATCCTTAGGAGGATGAAATGTGCTTGTATATATGTGTAAGATATTTTTATTGTTGTTACTATATATTCGTCTTAGAATTATAATGTTGTTGTTTTTTTTTAAATGGAAATAGAATTTTACATGCATGAGGCCTGAGACCTTTTCATGAAATAAAAATATATTATAGTTTTCCTTGAAAGACAATGAATTAGGACATGGTTGTACAGTTGGGTTATTGCTGATTATGTACTATATGTATCTTATGATTTTTAAAACAAACTTGGTATTTGTGGATAATCTAATCACTATAGCCAGATGTACATTTCTTAACCTGTGTATTATATATATTTATTTACATTAGCTTTAATAAAAAAATTAAATCTGTTAAAAAGAAATATGTGTGTGCAACATAATAGATATCAATGCGATTAAAAGACAAGGTGCGGGAGGTAATATCATTTATTAGACCAACTTCTGTTGGTGAGAGAGAGAACAGAAGTCGGTCCAATAAAAGATATTACCTCCCGCACCTTGTCTCTCATTCATATCTATTATGCTGCACATACATTTTTCTTTTTATAATACTATACATGCGTATCCAAATTCACCTTGTCTCTCTCATATCCTATGATTGATACGGCTTCAACTACGCTTGAATGAGGCTGTCAGCTAGAAATACTGAGGTTCTTAATCAGGAAAAACTCCCATTGAAGTTAATGGGAATTTTGTCTGAGTAAGAAGCTCAGGACTTTCCTGTACAACTGTACATATATTTGTTCAGTGAGAGTGTGTGTAATGGGCTTCTATATAAAATTTACCTTTGTTTAAAAATAAAATAATGAGCTTTTAAGTCTTCCTCTGATAGTTTTAAAGCTCACAGCTATTTGGACTGAAAGACTACTGCAATATCTTGAATTTCAGTACTGTAAGGTTAATGCACTGTCTAAGTCAATAGTAACAGGCAATGTTAAGTTCAAAAGGACATTGGAAGAAATACTGAGGCAGCCTTGAGGGCTTGCCCTGATGGCTTAGGAAGGTCAGTACTATGACAGAAAGGGCAAACTGCCATGAAGCAGGAGGCACTTTCTGAGAAAATGATCCCATTGTCATGCTCAGTTTTCTGATCTTCATTTTCAATCCTTCTTCTCCAAGCACATAAAGAAGCCAGACTATGTGACGACAGGCATTGTACCAGACTGGGGAGACTACATAGAAATTAAGAATGAAGATCAGATTCAAGGGCTTCATCAGGCTTGTCAACTGGCCTGTCATATTCTACTTCTAGCTGGAAAGAGTTTAAAGGTAAAAGTCACATGAGGTCCTGTAACAACTTGGATGCTTTCTGTGCTTTGTTTTTGTTTTTATTTAATGTACAGCTAACTTGCTATTAAATTACATACTGAATAAAGGGGGGGTATTAATTTTAATGGTTTTTTTGCTATATAAGATACGTGTTTAATTTCTTTTATCACTGAAATCTGTGTGGGGCGTGATTACATTTACTCATTGTTAGAAGTGTAATCCTTTTAGGTCTGCATTCTGACCTGCCAAGTTGCATGGGTTTGTCATAAGGCACATGGGATTCTATATGATTTTGTGACACAGCAAATCCTGTGATTCACACTTTCTGCTTTCCAGCTCTACATTTCCATAAATCTGACGGATTGGGCTGTTCCTTCCATTCTGCTGCTCCTTCTCCTCTGGCCAATTGATCAGACACGTCACAAACTACAGAACCACTGTTAAAGAATGCCACTGTAAAATTCCATGCACCTTGCCAGAGTGCACTGATAAGGAAAACTCTTGGTTTTCAGTAATGTTTTTTAGAGAACATTTTTGTGGGATGCCTCCCACATAATAAAGGGGAACCTCCTTAAAGTCTTTGGAGATGGAAAAATGCTTTGGTAGCTTCTCCCTTTCTTTCATGAATAACATACAAGATAGGGTGAAATATATTCTATAGTTAGTAGATATGAGTGTGGCGGTATAGAAAGGGTGTTCAGAGCATGTGGAGGTACAAAATGTATTTTATCAAAAAAAGACACTGAGAAAAGATTAATATTGCACAGTTAAGCACTCAAAAGTCAGAAAATGACAAAATTATGTACCCTTCCCCCTCATGCATATGCATTATAATACAGTTTTTAATTACATACTATTTCTTTGATGACCATATATAATATACTATTTTTCTGCAACCTTAAGTGCATGTGTAGCATTTGTTCATTATTTATACTCACATTAATTTCATCATTGTAATCTTCCTAAATATCTTTATTAATTTAAAATGTTTATATTACTACTCTTAGTTTAGTGCTTTCAACCTGAAAAATTTTGTCAGAATTCATCTAGTGTGCATTTGCTTTTCAACCATCAATACAGCTTTCCTTAGGGGTAGTTCAGGAGATGATGCAGCAAATAATAAAAGTAACTTAGACCTCGATCCTGCAAACACTTGTGGGTGTTTTTAACCTCTTCTATGTGAGTAATCCCATTGACTTCAGTGGAACAGCTCATATGTATGTTAAGCCCATGGATAAGTGTTTGCAGAATCAGGGACTTAGCGCCAAACTTACTTGGATTATAAATAACAGCAGTTTCTCACTATTACTCTTTGATGTTGTGTGGTAATGTGTAGTGCTCTGTGTAAGTGTAGTTTATGGTGTACTTTTCATATTGATTATTCTTTTTGGCTAGAATGTACAAAGTAATAGGAGATGGCACGTATGTGTGGGTTACATTTTGTGGGGGGAGTATATTTTGAGAAATAGTATGTCACTATGTAAATTAAAGGCTATATTGTAATGCATACACACAGGGGACAGAGTTAAGGCTGAATGTATGGTCTTAACTTTGTAATTTCCTTACATTTTTGTGCTTAACCATGCAATCATTACATGTTCTTCACATTATATTTGATGGAATTTTGTAGTGTTTTTTGGAAAAAAATCAAATTCCACAATATGGAACTGTGTGGCAAGAGACCACCAGAATACCCTATCCCAGGTAGCAGAAATGGTCCACCAGAGGATGCTGTTACTGCCCCTCAGACAGTATTTTCAATTAAAGCAAAATTGCCTGATGTGTGAAGTGGTGGCAAAAGGCTCTTTGGAACACATAAGCCTCACTCCCATGCTACGCAGGAGATCTGCCCACTGAATGGCCATGCACACGTGCCCAGGCACTCTTTGTGCACCACAGAAAGGAGCTGGGCACCAACGGGTACAGAAGGCCCATGCTGCGTGTGCGTCAAAAGTGTTATGCAGGTGACACAGGATGGGAACTATGGTCTGTGTTTGATCCAGTGGCCCTAGTATCTAATACAGTCTGTGTGCAGGGGCTGTGACTACGATTCCAGCACATAGATTGGAATAGTTGCTGTGGGATAGGGGAGCAACATAGCATCCTGCCCTTGTTGGGAGGGCGGGGGGGAAGTGGGCAGTAGTTTTCACCTGACCAACCACAAGTTCATCATGAATGAAGTAAGGGGTCCACAACAGCCCTTATTCCTTGCATGCTATGTATGCTGCCTCATTCACCATGCACAATTGCTAAATCTTTCACTGCACCGCTAGGAAAGCCATATGAACACCTGCACCGCAGCCATCCTTTATTCCAAACGATACTAAAAAGTACTCAAAAATCGAAGTCACTGTAGTGCATATGTGCGAAGTGTGATTTTCAAAGGCTTAAAACTCATTCAAATAAAAACTAATTTTCACAGGAACACTCCAAGGTACTTCTTCTCAATGAGGGAGGTTTCGCTACCAAATTTCAACTTTCACCTTGAACCATTTCAGAACTAAAGCTGATCCAAAAGAAAAGCTGGAATAATAATATTTAAAGTGTGTGGCATTTTTTCACAAGTCAAAAATGGCTAAACCATTTCTGTTAATCTTACAAAAAAATTCACCTTCAGAAAAGGATTGAGTATAGAAAATTTCAGTCAAAAAATGAGTGTTTCTGAATATTGTAGGTCACTGAAATAAGGGTGCTAGAATGGAAATTCTAATGCAGATTTCACTGTTAAAGTCACTGCTGTGCCCACTGTAATACAAACAGCTCCCGGGTATGAAACCAAATATTAAAATTATGTATAAATGAATTAAAATGGTTTCAAAAATAATTTGAAGGAAAAAATAATTGACAACAATATGACCGTAATCTTATTTGCAAGTCATAAGAATTAAGGATTTATCTACAAATGGCTGCAAATGTTTTAAAAGGTTGAAAGCATTAAATGCAATACTTGTAAATACAAATTGAAGCTACTGTATTTTTAATTATGTAAGGGGGATGGAAAGAGAGAGGAAGGAAGTTTAAAAAAGCAGACACTTCTATAGCAGCTACTGAACAGAGAGGCCAATAGAAAATCGTGGCCTTGAGAAGGCAAATATAGATAAAGAAAGAAAGTAGACAGTATTTTCAGTTTTCTGGAAGCTTTTAAGTGCTCCCTTTACTGTATGCTTGATTTCTCTCTAAATAAAACATAATGTATCTATAAAGTGTATCAAACAGTTTAGTGTTTTGTATCAAAGCATTTGATTTGTATCATCCTAGATTTCACTGAAGTGCATGACTGTGATCACATTCAGTAAATAAAAGAAAATGTCTTCAATATTTTTTTTCAGCACAATTTTTATTTTATATTTTAGGTTGGCATGACAACCGAAGAAATAGATTCCATTGTTCATCACGAAATAATCAGACAAAATGCCTATCCTTCACCTCTAGGCTATGGAGGTTTTCCCAAATCTGTTTGTACCTCTGTGAACAATGTGGTATGTCATGGTATTCCTGACAGGTATTCCCTTAATAACACACATTTTACCACTGCAAACAAAAATGTTATGTTAATGTTCATAATTTAGAGGTTAATATTAAACATGTTTCAGTTTACCTAAAAAACACCTATAAACCTATTGCAGCTGCATAGCATGCAACGATACTGTGGCGATGGGCACTTTGGGAGTTTGTTTAATAATAATAAAAACATAATCAACTGTTTGTCATGACACTCATAAATTGTGGTGTAATGCCTCCAGAGTTTAGAGTCTGAAAAAATACAGTACAGTAAATGCTTCTAATTTTTCAGCAAAATACATGTAGTTTAAGGAATTGAAGACATTTGATGTAAATTTTTATTATTAGCAATACACTAGGCTGCTCACAAAGTAAAATCAGCTCACTATAAATCAGAGAAGTATGGTGGTGGATTTTCAGACACTGATAATGTTTTCTGTCAGTTGTTTGTCATTACATTATATTCATCTGTACTTGTTCTTTAAGTAGCAAGAGCTGAAGATTAGAAAAGGTTATTCCATTTGTCTCCATCCTCCTCCACCAAAAAATATCTTCTCCCCTCTCCATCCCCAGATTTGTGTGTGTGTGTGTGTGTGTCATTAGGTGTTTGTTCTTATATTCCCTTTGTTGAGAACTGTCTGTCACCATTATTTTTTTTTGTCTGTTTATGTTTCAGTCGACCTCTTCAGGATGGAGACATTATCAACATTGATGTCACAGTGAGTAATTCATATAAAAAATAGTCTTTGATCAACTTTACAATTGCTAGTAGCAACAGGAAGAGCAGTAGATTGAAAATGTGGAATGCACAGATGGATGTGTGCTGTTTATTTCTAATCCAAGGCACAAGCAGCTGGTTTCCTTTTTTGTTTTTAACTCTGTGTTTATTCCAACTAGACCCAGGCCTGACTTGAATTTAGGGCTGGAATCAGATGCACTGAGATCAATGTTGGCCTAAGTGAAATGTCAGCCCAATCCTGCTATGTGTCATGTTTTTGAGAAGGTGTAATTGTTATTGATCCACTGTGTAGTTAACGCAGAGCACCACAGTACTGGGCAGCAGCTGAAGACAGATGTGTATGAGATGAGCTAACATGAAGAAAGCCAGCATTTTTCCTTCACTCTGCCAAGATTGATCTTCTTCTTCCTGCTGATTTTGAGTGGGGCCTGTCATTATCTTACTCTGTCATTAGAGGCTACATTGGCCTGTGTATGTCAGTCTATTTGGACAGCAACTCTTTTGCTAGCAGTGTTCCCTACATTTATTAAAATCCCTGAAGGTAGTGTTGTGTTCCATTTCTGGTATAAGAGCCTTGAACCCTTTACTCACAAACAGATAGTGTGATATAACCATTGACTTAACATTTTCACAGAATGGTCACTTATACCATTTAAATAAAGGCTGACCAAATTAGCATTAGAACAAAAAAATATGGAAACAGAAAACCTAATTGTGATGCCCTTTGGTATTTTCATTTATTGAAATGGGGATTAATCATGTTTTGTGGTTCTTATTTTTGTCCCCAAGTGGTAAGTTTCCCCAAAGCTTTGGCAATTTATTTCTAGTGAATACACAAATGTATTCCTGAATTCTAAACATTACTTTACAATAATAAATGGTGTAGAATAAAGTAATGTTTTGTAAGGGAAAGTTTTTTAACCATTAAAGAATTTCCTGATACACTTATCTGTACCAATTGTTTGATATTGCTTACCATGGGCCAAATTCACCCCTGGCATAAGTGGGAGCAGCTCTAAAGTGCCATAACTCTGACCTCACATTTAAAGCTTTTTAGATAGCTCTTTACATTACATTTAGTCAACTTGAACTTTTGCCCCATTATACCATTCACTTGTGATCCTGTACTGGGTTTTTTAACTTATTTTACTGCATTCCACCTTACTCTACATTTTCTAGCTGTAGGTATTTGTTCTATTTGATTTACATAGGATGATCGGTATTCTTCAAAATATATTTTTGGCCCAAATCCTTGACTGGTTTGAATTGATGTGGCTTCACTGACGTTAGTGAATTATGTCCATTGACAGCAGCTGAGAGGATCTGGCCTCTTCTTTCTTTAAATCAAATCTGGTTTAAAGTTAATTTTCCTTTTTTTTTGTATTGCCCCCAAAGACAACATTGACTCCTTAGATTAATAACGAAATTCACATTCATACAGGTATTTTCCACAGTGACTGTTCTAAGCATTTTTACACTCGTTTTTCTTTGCTTTCTCCACTCTTCTTTTCAAATAACATTTGATTAAATAAGAGGGATATTTTTTGAAAATACATTGAGTTTTTCTTCTGATTAACCTCATAAAACAAAGTAAATCTTGCAAGTATCCAAGAATATGACAGTTGTGGGAACAGCGCTCATGTGTCTTTGACTACCTATCTTTGGGTTTGTGTGTGTGTGTGTGTGTGTGTGTGTGTGTATTTATCACTGAAAATAAACATTGTGTTTGGTAATTGTTCATTTCCAATATGTCTGAGGAAAAAATATTGCTTTGTAGTGTTTATAATTGACCTATTAGTTTATTTTTAATGAGAAAAACTGGGACATTTCACAGATGGAAACAATTATGGACATAACAGTACAGTTACAGTAGACATTCTACAATAATTTGTTTATGGCTGTGTACAGGATCTATAAAATGATTACATAATAATCTGCCAGCTAGCAAATGTAAATACTTCACAGTGAGTGCAAGTTATCTGGGAATAAAAAATTAAATGTATTTTACACAAGTGGGTTTGTGAAATGTCATAGATGAAATATAAAGGCATTTTATTGACTTAAATCAAGTTGCCTTTAAATTTTCAAAAGAATTATGGAAAAAAAACATTGTGCTTCACCAACATACTACACAGCACTCAACCATCCGTTATCAAATATTGTGTCCTACGTCTTAGTTCGAGCGCTGGCTGTTATAGAGCTACCATATCTTACTTTCTGTTATGGTAATTTATTAATGTCAAAAATATGTAATTGTGATAAGTGGGTTGTAGTAAACCCTAATTGTATTTAAGAAATTGTTTTGATAGTATTAGATGAGTCCTGCTTCATTAATTTAGGTGCCAATCCTCCAAGCCCTGAGTGCATGCAGTTCTTATTAAAGTCATGCAGAGCTTGCAGGATCAACTCTTCCCACCCCTACCCCCACCACCACCCCGACCCACCCCCCGTGTTCTATTACAATTGTGCTCCTTTTTCTGACATGGTAATGATCAGATTTTTTTACAGTTTGGTTTCTGATAGATTGAGAGTTGTTCTATTAAAAATGATCTGGTCCTATTAAAAGTGAACCTGCTAGAACAAAAACTGTCCTATAACATATAACAACATAATGAAAAGCTGCAGTGATGTTCTTAACTGGCAGAAAAAGGTGTATAACTAAGGGCTTGAGTCCACTCTCATTGTAGCCAGTGAGAGCAAGTGGGGCCTTTTTGTTGAAATTCAACTTTCATTATAACCCTGTTACCACTCACTCATAAGTATATCTAAAAAATGTTTCAAGTCTCAAGTTGAATATAATATTTTTTTTGCAGAAAAGTGTGAGGAAAAATATCATTAGCTATTTTTTGAGTTTGGGAGTGGGCAAAGAATACCTGACCATTAAAAAAAGAGTCACAAACCTTCTTTCACAAATAGCTCACAAGTAGCAGAACGTTAAGCACTGAAGTGTGTTAGTCTCTGAAGAGTAGTTGCCCACTAAGTTTGAGAAAAAGATATTTTATAACACCAAAGTTATATGCAATTAAAATTGTCCTTTACACATTTCGAAAATTTCGAATAGTCTTTCAGTTACATTATTGCCTGAAGTACTGTGGAGCTGCAAAACCCTTTTTAATGCCACATTATAAGACTTCACAGTAAAAGAGCGGGGTTTTCCTGTGTTTGTAGAGAAATCTACAGGGTGCTGTAGTTCACAACCTATGTTGCTCCTGAAGAACAGTTGCATAATTACATAGTCAAAAAGGTAGAGGTTTTGTGTATCTAACAGAATGCTGCATTTCTGTTGTGGGCAACTTCATAGTGCCAGAGCTACGTGTTTTCTTTTTTTAAATTAAACCATGGAAATTAAATCCAAAAACCTATGCTAATGCAATGTTACAGTTTGAAACTGGAGTTTAAAAAGTAATTAAGTGAAATGCGCACAACAACAGTGGCCCTGTACTGGGTTATACTAACAATGAATTTGACCTAAGTTTTTTATAGCTATGTTAATTTACACACATTACATCTTTGTAGTAGTTTGGATTTCTAATCAGGCTGTTAAATGTACATTTTAAAATTCATTTTGGATGATATTCACTGTGGTGTGAGGAGCCAATAAAAGGTCTTCCCAGCCACCAACTCCAGGTGTAAGGACGGTCTCAGCACCCACTGTATGCCATGAGTAGGGTCTCTGCACCGCCTAAGCCAGTGTGTAGGAAGGCGTTGAGGTCAGAGAAGCCATGGGATCTGCAATTATGTCAATCCAGTGGCACCACCATACCCTATATAGGCAGATGGCATGGATGAGCAGCTGCAGCAGCTACTATCCTAGCCCACAGGGTGATGTTGTATCTCTGGGAGGGCTGTGCTGCACCCCTGCACCCTGGCCCTGTTTTGGGAAGTGGTTTTCATCCTCCTCAGACCCACTCCCACCTCTTGCACATCTTTGACATAAAGGTCAATTACTCTAAGGGCTGGTCTTCACTACAGGGAGATCATGCTGCTGCAATCGATGCAGCAGGGGTCGATTTAGCGGGTCTAGTGAAGACCAGCTAAATTGATGGCAGAGCGCTCTCCGGTTGACCCTAGTATTCCAGCTTCCTGAGAAGATTAAGGTAAATCGACGAGAGCAACGCAATGAAGACACCATGGTAAGTCGACCTAAGCTACGTCGACTACAGCTACGTTATTCACGTAGCTGGAGTAGCAAAACTTAGTTCGACTTACTCCGGTAGTGAAGACAAGACCTAACTTCCTGTAGATTAAATGAATTTAATTGTTTGTGTATTTAGGGCTCTTAGAACGTTCCAGTTTTGCATTTCCAGTATTTGTTCAAATGTTCAGCCCTAGACATAAAATTGAAGGGTTTTACATATAATTTATCATTACAGTTGTACCTCAAAGTTGCATTTTTAGGTCTAATTTCTAATCTTTTATTTCCTCTACCTTATTTTTGCAAATTGAGCTTGAAGGCAACCTAAAAGAAAACCTTAAAATAAATAGGATGAATTTAACTAACAGGAGATCTGTTTCTGAATGTAAAACAAGAAAATGTCTTTACATTTCTACATGTGTTTAGGTATATTACAATGGCTACCATGGTGACACTTCTGAAACATTTTTGGTGGGCAATGTGGATAAATCTGGTCAAAAGTTAGTGGAGGTTGCCAGGAAATGTAGAGATGAAGCAATTGCAGCTTGCAGACCAGGGGCTCCCTTCTCTGTAATTGGAAACACAATCAGGTAAGCCTTATACTGACAAGTAAAGGGAGGGCTGGCAAGTGGGACAAAGGTTATTGGTGGTTTGGTATAAAGCTGATGACATGTTTTATGATTCAGAACCATCATTTCAGTCTGATATCAGTATGTGAACTGCCAGGCTATAATGTTGTTCCTTGGATAAGAAAGATTTAAAAAAGTGAATTACACTGGGATCAGCAAAGATACCTGTAGAAAGACTCAAAGATATTTATCAGACTGCTGTGGTTTTAGATTAAGAGGTGTGATTTGTAGTGTTTTACATCCCCTTTTTTTTATTATTATTTTTACCTGAAACGTCACATCTTTAATAGAATCACTGTAAGAAGATGAAAAACCTACATTCCTTTTGTTGTATAGCAAATAACGTTATAAAGGAATTAGTCAAAATCAATAAGTCACTTTGTTAAAAAGTACAAAAATATTTAGCTCAGGAAATTCTTACCTTTCAAACCAGAGTGCATGCAAATATCATAAGGAAAGAGCACCCTCTTGAAGAAGTTTTCCTATTTTGCATTTGTTCTTTTATATAAAAGTAATCTTTGCTTTTGTTCTTGTTGGTTTGAATTAAAATATGTCACTATTTCCTGAATGTATCCATTTCTTTGATTTTTTTTAAACAATTTTTTTTTAAATAAACACGTCATATACGTTTTCCTTAACAGGTACCTCACTGGTACTTTTGTGAATATTAATGGATATGACAAACTATTGCATGCATTCTGATTGCTTAAAAGCTGCAAGGCTTAGTCACTTTGAAAAGATACTGCCTTTTTTTCTTTGTAAATCTTCAAATACTTTAAGGGGGAAAAAAGAGAGAGGCAAAATATCAGTTAGATGTATTTATAGCTTTAAAAATATTGTAACAGAGTCTGAATCGAACTTTAGTAAAACCTCTTTGGGTTATGTCTGAGAAGCCTTTATTGAAGACTTTGTAGAAAATTGTGTTTTTGACAGTTTTAAATTATAGGCTAACTAGCCTGGGGAAAAAGGATAGTGTCTTTTTGTTCTTTCATAGGAAATGTTGAATCAGACCCCTACTGGGAAAAGAAATTTAATGCATATCTCACTATCTTACTGTCCATGAATATAATAGAAGTGAATTCAAAATGTAGTTTTATTTTTGCAAATGGGATGAGTCGATAGAGGCACCTCATATTTTTGAACACCTAGGGTTCAACAGATTTACTGGTGGTGCTCTTGCATTTTAACAAAATTTATTCTTGAGTAGAAGGGGGAACAGAACACTAGATTCTTATTCAAGCATTCTATCGAGCTCTGCATTCATGGCTGTGTCTAAAGGGCATGTCAGCCTTTGATTCTCTCTGAGAGGTAATTATCCTTTTCCTGTCACGGAACAACAAATGATAGCTAACTACAGAGGCACATTTGCAGTAGTCACATTCATCAACTGCAGAAAAAAATTCAATTTAATTGTGCAACACAGCTGCACATAGGCTTTTTGAGCATTTCTGTTGTTCTCACTGTCTTGCTATTCCTCCCTCCAGATCTATTTTTTAAACTTTTTTTTCTGGTTATTTTTTTCCCCCTTTTTGTCTCTTCTTCCATTTTTACTCTCTGTACTTTCTTGTTAAAGTAATTTTCCTTTGTGGCTCTCATTCTTTTTTCCCCATTGAAGGCTATGAATGTAGAAAATTATCACAATTACTCATATAATTGAGCCTCTTTGTAGCAAGTGCAACTCCAGTAGCCTTTCTCCATCATGAAAATGGTTTCATTATAGGGTTTTTCATATTCTCTGACACCATCTACACAGAGGAACAGGCGTGCAGATGAGATGTACTAGGAACAGGGTAGATCAGTAAGGTCACAGTAGGAATAATTAGCTCTGCTATGGAAAGAGCATCTAGGCCTTTTACTGCTACATAAATGTACTGTCCGTGGCTTTTAGTCACAAAAAAACTTACTAACAAATGGAGCTCCCGCCTACTACTTTGAAAAAAAGATTTGTATCAACACTACAATTTTCCATCATTAAGACTAATAACACAGAGCCTAGTATACATCAAGGGGAATAAAAAGAAAAATCTCACATTCAAGTGGCGGCTGGGTGCTGACCTTTGTTCCCTTTTTTTGTGTTCAACTTAACTCTTCACAAAAAAGAGCCACACGCCACACCAACATGCAGGTGAACTCCAGCTAGTGCTAGCAAAGCATGGCATTCAGTTGGGAAATCTGATAAATCTCCATGCAAGATAATGCATTTCATTACAGATTCACTACATTAATTCTAGCTATATTAAAACAAAAAACAAAACAAAAAACAAAACAGGAGCAGAATTGAAAGTGACGTTGGATTTTCACTGTGTTGATGAAGAGGTCAGTTTTCTCACAGAGTGTAAATATGTATGCAAAGGCTCCACTGAAAAGCAAATTAATCAGAACTAGTGCTTGTTCAAAACTGCGTACAAAATAACAGATCGTGAACTTTTTTTAAAAGATTTTATTGTGCACGCTATTTTAATGTTCTGTTTTGTTTAAAACTACTCTAACATTAACTCTGATGAAGGAATGTCCTGATATGTTGAATCATCATTTTCTGTATATTTGTCATTTTACATTTACGTATGCAGTAAAAATCTTAGTTCAGTGGAAAAATATATAATATAAATACCTGTAAGCAAACACCTAAAGCTAGAAGTGTTCAGACCCATCAAAGTGGAATATATAGTATATAGTAGCTCTTCAGTGTCATCAGGTGGAACTTACAAATAAAAACATTACATGAATGGATCAATTTCCTTTGCCTAGCAAATTGCTAATCCTTTGCTAAGCTTCCTGTTAAATTGATGACAAAGGTCTCATCGACTTCAGAGGAAGCAGGATTGGGCCCTCATGTTCTATTTTCTTATACCCTTTGAGATGCTTTTCTTTAAGATTAAATATAGTTTGAATTATAGTCTTTATACATGTATACAGTGTAGTTGTTATGTAGTGAGTTTAGATATGTGAAAGTGTTATGAATATATTGATCCAAACAATGCAAATGTGGCATAGTTAAATAAACCAGTTTCAAACTCATAGGAAAAAATTGCAGCGATGAAAGTATTAATAAATGGTTTTTAAATGTTTAACTCATAAGTATATGTTTTGATATTAATTTAGAACAATATAAAGCAGATTTAAAAAAATCTGTTTCTATCAGATTATGCACATTTAAACAATAAGTGGCTCAGGCAAAATAAGTCATTTTAATGTCATCTGTGATAGATTTTCCTTGACAGCTACTGTAAATTACAATTACACTGCTTCTCTCTACACTTGAAAGTAAGCATTGCAATAAATTATCTTTTATTTCAATCCATCATGTCTGCTTTTCAGAAACAGAGAACCTCAAATAAAAGTTCAACACTATTGTAAGAAAAATACAGTAATTTGTGTTCCAGTTTGAAACCAAAATGTACCTTTCTTTCAAAAAACAATTGTTGGCTTTCAAAAATATTACTAATTATACTTCAACATTCGTTGTCATTAAAGGGAATCCCTGAACTTGTGCATTCCCTCAATCTAAGATTACTACTTAAAAGAAAAATACCTTTAGAAGCGTGCAGTTGGATTTTGTAATTTACCAAATGAGGTTATATTGTAGCATTCAAAATAAATATTTTATTCATGAGCAAATATGATTTAAACTAGTGATGTCTCTTTAAGAACGTGCAAAAAATAGTAATGTCATTCAATAACCATAATTTACAAATAATAATATAAAGAAAAATGTGATTTTTTTAAATTCTAAGGTGCATTATGCTTTCATATTACTCCCTATGCAAGAATTATTTTCATAGCTTTGATATTCTTGTCCCTGTTTGCAGAGCAGTTTTCCTGCCTCATCAGTGTGGGTCAGATCTATTTAGTAATTTTAGTCTGTTGTTGTTGTTGCTGCTGATCTTTAACACCATTTCAGTTAAGTTTTAATTTTTTTGTAAGGAAACTGGAATCTACAATTAGAGAGTCAGATTCACCAGTAGCCTTCAACTGCTTTATGAAGCAGCCTTAACCTGTCTTAACTGGCTAGTTAACAGCTGCTTTGTGTCACCAGAGCATGGAGTAAAGCAGCTAGGGTGTACCACTATAAATGCTTACAATGGGATTTGTTTCAGTTGTGTTTCTTGGGTGATTGCTTAGTGCATTGGGCCAGATCTGCCCTCCTGTGGAAAAACCTTCAAGAGAGGGTGAAAGAAACTGCCAAGTTCTCCCCATTTTGGCAAGGGATGGGATTTGCCATAGATCCCTCTTGATCCCCCAGGACCTTAGGGGATCTGCTAGAGGCACAGGACCAGCTGTACGAGGGATCTGTGCCACCACATTGGCACTGGAGCCCCTGAGCCTGCTCTGCAACTTCCTGGTAGGAGGGCTCTGGGGCTTACCTCAGCCACCTCTGCCCCAGAAGACCTTTGAGAGAGGTTCTACAGCATCAAGGGATAGCATTGTAGAGAATCCAGTCCTGCCTCTAGTTGCCTGTAGCTTTTCTGCGGCTTACCTGTAGGGTTTGTGGAGGGATGATATGTATCTGCCTATTGTCCCATTCTTCTGTATGGATTCCTCTGTTCACAGAGGGCTGTCCATAGTTTGGGCGACTCTGGGAAGATGATGCTCTGGTGGTGGCTGATGTCCCACTTTCCCCTACCGCTCATAGGAAGGGTGATATCTGAGTGCAAATGGTTGCATGTAGGCATTTGGGAGGGAGGATCTGACCCATAGTGAGCAGTCCTGAATTCTGCTTACAGTTCTCTACTTACTGGCTGTGTGACCTTGCTTTAGATATTTAACCTCTCTTTGCCATTTGTAAAACAGGTATAATACCCAGGGTCCTGTGCACTCTGCAGCATACTGGGATAAATTTCCTGGCAACCACCAGACTAAAGTCTGCTGCAACATTGAATTACTGTGTTGTCACTCCTGTCCTTCCTACTCCCTAACACAGCTATGGCTCGTAGCTGAAAATACTCACTGAGGTAAAACTTGTCAATAGTTATTTTCAATAGGGATTATTTTGAAGAACGTGTTTTTTCTCTGTGCTCTCCAGGCAACCTGGCTCTGCTCCCCAGCCCTCATTCCGCCATGTTATCCCAGTAGCCAGACTCAGGACCTTTTTCCCCTTGTGTGACCCAAGGGACGGGAGAACTTATACAGCTCATCTCCTTGGCAACCAGGGCCTCAGCACCAGGGATGTACTTCCGGCAGCCTGGCTCACCAGTTATATTTTCAGCTACCTCCACTGCCTGACTTCAAGTTGGACTTCACCTCTGGCTCCTTGATCTGTTGCCCAGTGCCATGGAACGGTGGCAGAAGCATGCACCGTTGTCTGATAAACAACTTCTTCTGGAGAAAGCTGGAGAGAGAGTGAGGCTAGTGCAGGCAAATCCTGGTAGGGCAGGGAGCCAGACAACAAAACATTGAGTCCCAGGCTGCAGCAAATGGTGAATTCCATGCCAAAAATGCTGAATTCCATGGTATCTTGACGAAGAATCCCAAATTCCACAGCCCCAGCATCACAAAGCCCACAGGGCCCTGACTGAGGTGGGCACCTCTCTGAGCGATGTTTCAAGCTCTCTACTGACTCAGGAAGACATCACTGGATCAGTTTACAGTCAGTTCATATTTACAAGGTTACCTCTGCACTATCAGGACTAAAAGCAATTTTTTAAAAAATGAATGAAGGGATTTTGGAGCACAGGTTGTTAGCAAAACCTTAACTCCATGAATGTGGAACTGAGGAATACACAGGACCCTGAAGATCTCCCCTCACAGGTGTTAACACTTGTAGTCTTTTAAAATTCTCGGATGTGAGGTGCTACCATATGTAAGTGTAAATATTAGAAAGAGGTTGAAAGTGGCTGAGTTTCATACCTACAGCTTTTTTCTCCACAGATGTTCTGTACAACAATGCAGGTTCATATGATACATTACATTTTATGTAAAGAACATCCATACTCTGCACCGTTTATGGGTGAAGAGGGAAGGTCAGTTGAGTACTTCAGTGCAGATGTCAAATACATATGAGCACAAAGATTCCTATTTTGATCAGACTGTAATAGCATAAGTAGTGATGCTAATAGAGTTGTTTTCATGCTCTTGAGCAAGGAAGAGGCAGAATTAATCAATGCAGTGCACAAGAACTACTTTCATTGTATGAGGAAGAAAAACTGTCTCAACCGTGTCTTCTCATGATGATGACCATGTTGCTCCTACTTTTGATGCCTCAAAGCAACTGCTGTTGCTTCTAAAGTCTTGGTGTTGAACATTATTCTCTCAGTGGCTAGTTGAATGGTGCACACTGGAGCTTTCCATGCCAAGATAAGGATAATTAGTTTTGGTACTTAGAGGACGTACCTCCTAGATAGAAGACGAGTTTTGAAAAGACATCCTATAGCAAAGTTGTAAGCCTAAAAAAATGACCCTGGGGTCTATCAACCTCTTTGAATGGTATCAGAGGGGGACAGGCAAAACTGAATAGTGAATGGGTTTGCTTTTGCACTGGCCAACATACTTTAAGAAAAATAGAGGTGGAACAAAAGCTTGCCAAATGTTGCATAAATAGTCTTCCACTCCTCTCCTCCCCTAGGGTAATTGTTTAAGAATATTTCATTGTTACATGAAGTGTTGCACTAATTCTGGTTTTCTACAACTCACATCATTTCACATTTTGTTCTTTATATGTTAGTGAATAAACTAATTTTCTAATTCCTCTCCACATCCATTGCTTCCTCCTTGATCTTTACTATCATCATATCCAAGATGCATCCTATTTGGCTTTTCCATCTCTAACTTACATTATTTTTTTAATGTTATTTAAATTGTGTACTTCATGGGATAAAAATCCCAGCAGAATGGAGCCCAAGATCTTGTACCATTACTAGCCATTTATGCCAATAATTAGGAGAGTCTTAAAGAAGTTGGGGATATCTTAAACTGAGGACCTTGTTTCCCTTCAAAGTCAAATGAAGTACTATCAAACATGCTTGTTAGCTTGGAAGGCAGGTACTAGATAACATATGGAACCTTTTCAAGCATCCATTTTAGATCTGAGCTTTGTAACATTATTAACTACCACTGACCTGATTCTCCACCCTGTTAACACTTGTTTTACAGCAGCATTACACCATTTACTTCAGTTGTAGCAATGGTAAATTCTTGGCCTGTGATGCACAAAGGTGTAAATATCCCGGCTTCTGTAGGAAATCATTTAGCAGTGTGTTTAAGTACTTACCTTTCATATTGACAGAAACAACCAGGTCCACTGGATTTGAAACCAACAAATTCCGCTTTTCTGTGTTTTAGGTGACATTTTTTAAGTGTAAAACTAATCCTTTGTTCTTTACAGTACTCCTGTGTGGTTTTAGAAATTGGATGGAAGTGATATGGATGAGCACAGCTGCCATCATGGCCGATCTCAAATTAATAAGATAAAGACTTATTTGTAGGTCTAAGATAATGCTGATACATATAGTAGTAATTTGACTTTCCCAGTAACTCAGGCTGGTGATTGTAAACGCTCTGCTTGTGGTTCTGAATCTAATCTTTAAAGCTTTGAAAGCACAGCTACCTAACAAGACCCTCTCTCTCTCTCTGCAAATAGCAGTGAGCGGATGGAAATCTATAGCCCTAGGCTGAAACTTTTGGGGACTGGGGTAGGACATTCTTGAGGAAGGGCCCTTAGCTATAGAACTGTATGCCTCCCGAGAACAGGTTCATCCCAAATTTCTCATATTTTGGATGCAATGTAAAACTTCGCACAGGCCTTCCCTAAACAGATAGTGGTGACTGCAGAATAGCCTAGAAGTTTCTGTTCTGAAAGACAACCACCCGGAACAAGCCTATATTAGAAAGGCATAGAGAGGAGCTGAGTGATCTGGCCCTGTTTCAGCTCTTACTGATGTTCTGGTGCCCAGATATTGTGATTATGGACATGTTAGAAACAGGTGGACTGTTTAATTAGCATTACATGCATTTGCTAGACTTGTAACTTTTTTAAAGGGCCCCAGACTGGTAGACCCCAAATATGACCTGCTCTTTTTCTTTTATCTCTGCAAAAATCTGTGTTTGCAAAAATATTTGTAAATCTGTGTGTGTAGAGTCCAAACAAATGCCTCAGTGTCCATTTCCCAGATCTGCTGCAGGGTTCAGACTGTTAAGTGCTGGTATACAGGAGTCTCCTTTATTGGGTAGACCTGCCTCAATTTCTGTATTAAGTTTTATTTACAACAAATAAGATTCTAGCACACTTGTTTGCCAAGACAACCCTCTGGAATATAAACTGATCAAGCTCTCAGAGTCCACAGAGAGGGTCGGAACCAATAGCTCTGAGCTTCCAGATTCCAGTGTATTGGTATAAAAAAGCTGAAGCCTAACCATGACAGTTACACTGGCGACATGGTTCCCTGTTCCACTGCTGATAATTCCAGAGACGCCCGGCTACTTTTCGATTGTGGGTGGAGTTATGAATTGTGGGCGGGGCTTGAGTGCACCTGGACTCTGCCCCCCCACATAAAGAATGCCTGGAGAAACCTCCACTAACGGTGTGAATGTGTCATTGTGTTACACTCCGAAGAGATTATCACCAGCCACACTGCCTGACACGTGTTTATTGTGAAAGTGCCTGGAATTATCCCAGTGTCACTGCTACAGTTTGGGGCTCATACGTTTGTGAGTGTTACACAGTCCGAAACGCGGGGTTTGCGAGGGTCTGATGTCTAATTGGAAATGGGCTTTGTCTCTCTCTCTCTTTTTATCTTATTGTATTTTTGCTGTCCCTTAAAGCCGCATAGCACATCAGAATGATTTCCGAGTCTGCCCCTACTTTGTTGGGCATGGAATAGGATCTTACTTCCATGGACACCCTGAAGTTTGGCATCATGGTAAGGAAGTCCATTGTGAAAGATACGTAGGAATCTTACTGAAGTATTTTAATAAACGTAACCCAGCTGCAAAACCCGACCCACCCCCCCCCCCCCGCCTAGGGGTCATTGCAATCTACCAGTCCTGAGACAGCAGGAGCTCTTCTTCCCTGCGAATACAGCCCCCCTCCTTAGTAGTGACTTGGGGAGATTGCTGCCGGATCTCTGGTGGCTGGTGTGGTTTGAAGGCACTGGGATTACTTCTTTGGGAGAAAAGTTAAAATTAATAAAAACAAACCCTCGCTGCATCAATATCCCAGCAGGCATAACCGCTGACTCTTGCTGTTAAGCTGCATTACATTCCCCCGTGCTGACAGCTGATGGAGCAGCAGGTTCTTCTGCGGGGAGTTCTAGGCTGCGGGGCCCGGCCAGCAGCCCGCCTTCTCCTGAGCGCTGGCTTGGGCCCCCCCCGGGCAGCCCTGCCGGGCGCTCCCACTGGCCTGGCCGGCGCCGCTGTCAGGCGGATCCCTGCGCCCATTGAAATCAATAGACAATGGCCTTGCCGTTGAGTTCACCGGGAGCAGAATCGGACCCAGACTCTGCGCTTCCTAGGGGCTGGCGGGGGGTAGCAGTGATCAGCGCTGCCTGCTCAGCCTTGGCTGAGTGTTTGCTGTTCTCCTCACCCCTTCCTCCCACTGCCAAGCTCTGGGCCAGCTCACAGCATGGCTGGCCGGCCACTGACACCTGATGACAAGAGATGCTTCAGAAGGCTGACAGAGGCCAGGACGAAGACACCCAAGGCTCTGCAAGGCCTTCAAATACAGTCTGCAAACTATTTCGGAGGCCCCTTGAAACCGCCCAGAAGGTCCTAGCGGAAGCTCAGCAGCTCAATATCTCTGAATAGGAGTAAATCACTTCCCCCTCTGCCGGGCCTTCCTTGGCCATAACCCCCCTTGCAGCGGAGGCTCTCTTGGGAGGACACTCAGAAGGTGTGACTTGCGGAGCATGTTTAGAAGAGGTCTAAATAATACCTAAGATCACAATAGACGGCAAAGTGGAAAGTAGGGCCTCGGCAGCGCTCTCTTCGGAAGCAGACATTTGAAACACCATCCCTAGATGACGACCTATCCTATGCCAAATATATTTGATTTTGTTTTGCAACAAAAAGCCTCGGTTAAAAGAATAAGAATCGGTTAAACTTTTCTGTTTGACCAAATGCAAGTTTACCTGCAGGCTTTCCCCTTTTATAGTCAGTTTTGTTCTTCAGGAACAACAGATAACTTGTTTAAAGCCAGAAAGACTAAAGATCAATATGAATACAGTCCCTATTTTTATTAGTGTTCTTCACCGATAGTCATAAGCTGATCGAAACGGGCAAAGTTTATTGCAAAACAAACAAACAAATGACTGTACTGATTAAATTTTAAAATTCTGTAATTCCCTTAGAAGTGAGCTGGTACTCAAAATAGTTTCATCTATGCATAATAGAGTGATCTTCCAGATCTTATACCTGGTTTGCTTTGCTTTGAGATTGGGAAGATTATTTTAAACACTTTCCTCGGATATTTAAAGGGAATTGCCTTACATGGTACCTGCGGGACAAAAAAGGGTTTCTGAAAGCAAGTGCTGGTTACATTTACTTAAAAAACAAACAAAAAACCCACCCACCAAAAAAGCATTTTTGTTTTCTTTTGTAGACAATGACAGTGATTTGTTAATGGAAGAGGGAATGGCGTTTACAATAGGTTAGTAACAGTTGCGAATGTTATTCTTTTGCTTTCTTTTTTAAAACCACATCCCTACCTTCTCTTTCTTTGACTATCTACTCTTCAGATTTTGGGATTTCGGTTAGGCTAACCCCATGGGAAGCAAATTGAAAACATCCTTTAAATTTTCATTTGTGAAATAATTCGTGGAAATAGTTGCCATGTGATAAGATCTGGGAGAGGAAAATGCCCCCAAAATCTTATTAAATAACAGGTTTGCTCCATATTTTTGTAGGGTAGAGACTTATCCAGCACATTTGGGAGCTGCCTTTGCAGAAATAGTACAATCTAATTCTGTTACCAAAGCAATGTTTTTACCACCAAGCTATCTGGTGACTATTTTGTCATTTGCTTCATGACAGGAGCTGTTGTGTGGTTTTTGATGTATTACATCCTAGCTAACCAGTCAGAATCCTTTCCCTGGAAGGTTGAATGTGCTAAATACCAATCATAGAAAGCTTAAGGGGGAAAAAAGCCCTCTTCTCACTGTGTGCCTAAATGGCGCAGCAATTAGAGGGAAATAAGAAAATTGTTGTTTTGCTGATTTAATGAACATTTTAAGCCTGTTTTTAAAAATTCAAATATTTTAAAACTATCTGCTGTTTTTAGGAGTGGTTGGTGCTTTGGTTATTATCCACGGGGTCTTAATTAAAGCTTGATTAAAATGCCCTTCTTTAGTCTTTCACCAAAAAAAATACATGAATAACGTCATACTTCAGAGTTTCCTCTTCCTCCTCATTAGTTCTTATGTTAGCGTAGCGATACAATTTCAAAACTCTACCTTTGGGGACCCTTTCTTTTCAGAAACAGGACAACGATGTGCTGTGGCCAGTTTAGCAAACGTTTTTCCCCCCCCTATTACAGAGCCAATAATAATGGAAGGATCCCCTGAATTTAAGATCCTAGAGGATAAATGGACTGCAGTTTCTGTCGACAATAAAAGGTACCTGAATTTACTTCTTATGTATTTTAAACTGTGGAATTGATCACTGACAGCCGGAAGGAATGGGTGAGTTTCATAGGCACTGCTAGCCACCTTTGCCCCCTAATAATTGCTAAATGTGTATTTCAGATCAGCCCAGTTTGAGCATACCATTGTAATTACATCAGGAGGAGCAGAAAGCCTTACTAAAGTATTGGAAGACTCTTAAGGTCGGCTCAAGAAGTGGCTGAAGTTACTATGCTCCTGGAATGCCTGTCAGCTTTACCAAGCCAGAGGAGGTTTCTGGAACTTTTACGGGGAATAGGTGCTGTGGCTCGTTAGAGGAAATGGAGTGGACAGCTTTTAGAG